TTTTCTCACCGTGTCATTGACGTAGAAGGCTCCATCCTGGTTCCCAGCAGTGATGTTGTAAGAAAGGAGCGCGTTGTGTCCGCTGTCTGCATCTTGCGCTCGGACTCTGGCCACAGAGGTGTGTATGGAGGCGCCTTCGCTCACACTGGTGTTGTAAGGCAGGTTCAGGAGGACTGGGTCGTTGTCATTGATGTCTTGGACGAGGACCCCAACCACCACCTGCAGAAAAGCGATCCGGACAAAGGCAAAACTTTCCACCATTAATGTCAAAAAAACATCCCAGTTGTCAGTCAGAGCATGTTGGAAGTTTTTAACAACATAACCATAAAATCATGACCAGTCCTAATTTTCTTTTTATTTTAAATGTAAAATTGCCACAGTATCTATCGGCCAAATCTACTTTTTGAGATGTATTGCATGTTTAACTGGCATGATGATGGATTTGGTAGAGTAGTATAGTTTGTGAGTATATACATATATATATACGTCATGTACAAACCTCACAAACCGCCTCTTCATTTGTCGGAAATGTAAGTGTTCAGAGTGTTTAGAGCAAGCACAGAAGTGAAACTTGCGTGATCCTGATTGTTCAAGAGGATATGGTAAGACTGTGTTCCCACTTGCGTGTGTTTGTGTAATAAAGGCCCACCGAGCTGTTGCGAGACGGGGTTCCCAGGTCTCGTGCTGTGACAGTGATGTTATAGAACGCTGTTGTCTCTCTGTCCAGCTCAACATCCTTCCTCACCCGAAGCTCTCCCTCCACAGGAGAAACCATGAACTCATCTGAGCGAGAGAGAGATGAAGAAAGAAGCTCATAGACACATAGCAAGGACTTAAATATCACTCTCTCGTCAGAACAATCCAGTACTAACTTTGGTGATCTCCTCCGGTGATGCTGTACTCCACTTTGCCGTTGAGCCCAGAGTCTTCATCACTGGCTCTTAGAGTACAGACTCGAGGTCCTGGCTGGCCCTCAGTCACCTCGAAGGGTCCCTCATAGGCTCTGGGGAAAGTGGGCGTCACATCGTTCACATCTAGGACATTTACCAGCACCTGAGGAAGGAGAGAGAGGGATGAGAGAGGCGACTGATTGTGACATGTACATGTATGTGTGGCAGAAATAGGATGAACACTGAAAACTAGTTCACAATAATGTATGGCTAGCTCTACCACTATATCATAACATAAATATATTAATGTATTAATAGAAGGATTTCCACACTTTAGACATTAAATTAAAAAATTTCAGTGACTTTCAAGGTTTTATGTCTTGAAATCCAAATGAAAATGTTCTTTATGTAGGTATAAAGAATGGATTTGGATGTTTTGGGTATTATTTTAATCTGGATTCTGCAGACTGTTTTCTAAAAATAGAAAGCTATCACGGCCATCCACCAATTGTGCAATTTTTTCTTATTTTATTTCTCAAGTCCCAAAATTTCAGATTTCTTTTTTATTAAATATTATCATATTTGTTAGTATCATGAAAAATTTCAATTATTTTTTCAATAACTCAAATAATTGCTTAGTTTAAAAACAGCAAAAAAGGCTGTCTTTAAAATGCTTGTCTTGCCAAAGTCAAAAGACAAAACCATCAAATCCTCACATTGGAGGAGCTGGAACCAGCAACTGTTTAGCTTCTTATATTACCTGAATGATTACTTATTTTCTGTCAATCTACTAAGACTCATCGTTTCAGCTCTAAAATCTTAAATATTATTTACATAAAAAAAAAGATATAATAAGGTATATAGAGTGTGTCTCATTTGCATAATTACTGTTGTGCTGGATGTCAAGCGCAGAGCAGGATTTGCACACTGGTCCGTTGCTGTGACAACCAGTGCATAGTGTCCGTTGCTGATCTCGAAGTCCAGCTCCTTCACAGCTGTAATCCTCCCCTAAATACACACACATACACATCACACACAGAAGGTTAATGTATGGAGTTTTTTGCAGTTGCTTGTATCACTACAGAACAACAATTAACACGTCTTACCGTGATGCTGTTAATATTAAAGGTCTGAATCAGGTTGCCGTGAGTAATAGCATATCGCAAGGTGCCGTTCAGACCCTCATCGGGGTCGATGGCTGTTACCGTGGCGATGGTGGCACCCACTGTTTCTGGTCCCTCGCTCAACACTGTGACATACTCCTCCTCAGGAAACTCAGGGGCGTTATCGTTCTCATCCACAATGTGAACATAGATGGTGGTTGAGGTCTGTGTGAGAAACAGACAGACATGGTAAAACTTTTATAGCTATTATACTTCTATTTATGGCTTACTGTATTCAATTCTACTGGCAATATATGATTCACTTCCAGCATACAGTGTCAGCTGGGCCTGCAAGTGAGTCTAAATTTGATCTTGTAGTCCATTCATCACTATAATGTTGAAAGATTCTACGGTGATGTATCATCATATAAAAGGAGCAAATATCACAAATGAGGACTCTACCAAATCTACAAAACAGCAAGCTAATCTGGTAATCACTGTTTTTTCTTTTATAATAACGACTAAACAATAATATCTTGTCAATCATCAGTAATTTATCTAAACGCCTTGTTTTTTTTCACTTCATGTTGGATCCGCTCCTACACCTGACATATTGTTCACTTCCAGTGTGACTAATATAGTTTTTCTGCAAGAAAGGAAACATGGTTTTGCACAGTTTTTACTTACGATGTGATATTCAGGATTCATTTAACATGGGTGAATTGGTCAGTAGACTTGAGCGTATTTTGTTACAGACAGAAAGAAAGAATATCCTGTGAGAACCAAAAGGAAATCTGAAAGGGTAAGTGAGGCGAAGAGAAGACAAATGTTCTGATTCCGTATTGTGTCATCTACACACTCTGAAGGGAAAGGAGAAGTAGAAGATAGCTAGTGCATTCTGAAAGAAACTACTACTCAAACTGAAACGTTCTAGTGCAAAGTAAAAGTATCACTATGTGGAGTAAAAGTTGTTTTGAGCTAATTCCTGCTCCACCAGTCTGACCTTGTAGTTTCCCTCCCAGTTCTCCTCTCAGTGCGACTATAAAGGTGGACCAACGACTGGCACCCTCAGGCTGTGGCGATTAAAGAGGCTGTATCAGTTTCACAATATTGTGATGTGTGTGTGTGTGTGTGTGTGTGTGTGTGTGTGTGTGTGTGGAGAGCAAAAGATGACTAACAATTTCAACTAAAGACACAACAGGTTATCCAAACATCACAGAAACTTTCATTATTCATTGTTATGTTAATAACGTGCAACCATGCAGCCATATATTTGGCTATACTATCCAAAAGAACACAATAAAGTGCACTGCACATACTGCTCATGTGTGGAAGACAATGTACGTATCATAATTAAATTTGGAAAAAACAAACCAACAAACAAACATTTTCTCACAAATTCAAGTTTGTTAATGTGTCATAAAGTTTTGCATCTGTAGAAATGTCATGTTCATGTGTATTTAAAATGTGTGCAGGAATATTTTCAACAATGAGGTTTCAGCCTGTCAGTGGATGCCACTCTGACGCTACAAGCATCAGTTTTGACCTTGTTTTTACGCTTGAGCTGACTAGAGACAGTCAGCACGTTGCCCACTGACCATCCAATCACAAAAAGTGTCTGTCCAGTCGGGGTAAAAGGCTGTGGTGCTTTCTGGTTGCGTCTACCATTTTGGGTTTCTGGGGACCAGGCCTCACTGATTACTGTGCAATCACACAACTTTATTCACAGATTCTGGTAAAACTGGGCAATTTGTGTTGGGTCTTGTGATGTACTCTGGCTGCTCTGTCTTAACTCTCAGTGATTTACAGAGTTTCCTGATGGACAAATAGCTTTACTTGTTGCCAGAGTCACTAACTTCTGCTAACTGCAGCTGCTGTTAGACGCAGCTAGCGGTCCTGTCAGCTGACAGTGCCCGGACTGGGAGCTCGTAGCGGAAGGGGAGTGTTGCTGTTTACACTTCTAGCACAGAAACTTTGGATCGCTGGGAGGAGGAAGTTTTCAAACCAGAACCAAATACAGCGTCCGAGACTGACGGAGGTCAGTTTTATGACAGGGAATACAGAACCAAGGTGGTTTTCTTGCTGGGTTTGGCTCCATTCAGGCCTGGTGGGCGCTGACTGATGCCTGACCTTCCTCTCATTCCTCTCCCGTTTCACGCCTCTCCTGTCCTTCTGTGTCTTTGTTGTGAATCAGAGTCCTGGTTGGCGCCGCTGTATATGTAAATGCTGCTGCAACATGCTGATCGGCTAGTCAGCTCAAGCGTAAGAACACGGTCGAACTTTGTGCTTGTAGCTCATAGCCTGCAGCTTCAGTGTTACATACGCTGACTGAAAATGTGTGTGCCCTTCTCTCAGACACAGCACAATTTTTCATTACACTTGTCCACAAACTTGTCCACACATGCACAAAATAAGCTACAAAGCTCTATTACTCATTCACAAACTTTTTTTTCTTTTCTTTTTCTTTCTTTTTCTTTCTTCTTTTTTTTTTTTTTTACCAATTCACAGATTCAGATATGTGCGTGCATCACCAAAGGTGATGAAAAGCTGCAGGTTGTGAAATCATTTCTGAACGTCATTTCACAAGTTTAAAATGACCCTTATGTGCTTCCATATTCCTGTGGAGTAGTACTCAGCCTGTGAAACCACCTTTATAATCTCTTCTATGGCTCAAGGCTTTCTCAGCTTGTCTTTGAAAAATTATAATCATTAACAAAAAGACTTTGTCACAAACTCTGTGCTTGGTGTTTGCATGATTTAGCCGACTGGTCTCATAAAATGTAATGGGGTTGCATTATGGGACTAAAAGTCAGAATATCTTTATCTTTGCTAAATTAAATATGACCATCCATCCTTGAAAAATGTATCTGGCATGTACCCCATCTTTGTGGAAGAAGTTTTTATGTGTACTAGTATGGGGGTGTGACACAGAGGAAGCGAGAGAGAGAGGGAGGAGAGAGACTGACAGTAAGGGGAGGAGCCGGGCAGAATGTATCACGCTGTTTTTGCACTACAAAGTTCAGAAAGATCAAATCAGCTTGGAGACAAAGTGACGGGGAACTGTCAACCAACTCTCTGCGTTTCGGTATACAGCTGAAAGAATTTGTACAATTTAAGAGTGAGGGGAGAAGAAAAGTTTAACAAAGGCTATCTGTAGAGTTAGTTCACTTCTGTCTGAGTCACACAGTTCTGCATTCAACATCCAGACAAGCATGGAGCGGGGATTACCCTGTCGGACATCACTCTGGGGAAAGAAGCTCTTGCTTTGGTTATGCTCTCTCCTGGTTTGCATTGCTGCAGGTAAGCACGAAAAAAAAAAAAACCCCACTGACATCCATCCTGTTGTTTAACTGGCTCATCCAAGTCTCCGGGCGTGTGTGAACTTGTTGACAGTTTTCTTTTAGTGACAAACCCAGCGACTGAATTACATCAGTACAATAGTCTTTCAACTCAAGTCAACTTGACACACACGCAGAGTGACAGCTTAAATCCGGTTGTTAGTCTGGATGTTTAACGCACCCAGGTCATCAATTGACCTTTTCAACAGGAACTTAATGTATATGAAGACTAATGTTACATGGGGGGGTCAGAAGTTTATAGGACAGGCCTAATATAGCCTGTACATTCAGTCTGTTTTACAGCACAGAAACTTTTCTTTTTCCAGACTCACAAGGCTTTTTCTGTCAAGCTGTGGAGATTTTATCCTTTCAATAATAGCGAACAGAATATGCGTGTAGGCGGTTCCCGACCTTGACGCACATCTTTGTAAAGACAAAATTGCAGATATGGAAGTTATTTTATTTTAAATGCATGTTGTCTCCTGGTTAAACACTTTTTTTTTTTTTTGTAGTTTAAAGCCTTTCAGACTGGGTTTGTTGCTGCTGTTGTTTTGAGACAGAACATCTGGTGTGAAGCTGTTTTAAAGCCCCTCCCATGTGATGTACAGAGTGTAAATCTGCTGTATACTCACCCTCTATAACATAACCGCAAATTAAACAGTGGTCGTTGACGTTTTTAGATTGACGAGTCTTAAAATATCCAGAAATGTACACAACCTGGAGAACATACAGAAAACGACATTGGGAAAACAATCCGTGCGCTCTGTGCGCCTGTGCAGAGTGAGTTTGATGTCCTAGGCATCCAGTAATTTAACCCCCGACTGAAAAAAGTTATTTCTACATGTTCACAGAAACCCCGTGTGTATTCATGGGATCTGTAATGAAATGCAGGATTTTTTGGTTTTGCTTGGAGTTTGGGCTACCTGGCGCTGGAGGAAACGGGACACGCAGCTGTTTTCTCGGGCGCAGGCTGCTTCACTTCAAACGCCATGAAACCAGAGGTTATCAGTTTTCGGATTTCGGATTTAGTCTGTTTAGATAAACCCAGGCCACAGGATAAGTCCGTCAAAGGCAACTAGTGGTGTTTGTGAACCTTAAGGCTGATCCACCTTGACAAAAACATCTTTGTATATTGTTCAAAAAAGGCTTACTTTTCAAATTTGTAGATAAGATATCCATTAAAACTAAAGTAGCCTGTTTTTAACTCATTCATTCAAGCCTATAAAACCCAAGAAGCTCCAATAAAAGACCTACTCTGCTTAAGTCTCACTTTAAGACTCCAGTGCCCTCCTTTCTGCCCTGTTGTGTCTTCTTTGTTTGGAAGTTTCCTTCCTCTCAGCCCATGATGAAAACAGTTGTTTGTGCCACTGCCAATAATGGGTTTCTCCTCCACAAAACATGACTTGAGATAAACAGCAACAATCACTGGCTCTTTTCCTTTCAGTCTAGATAAGCATTTAGCTCCCTATAGGACAATGGGACAGTCAGAAATGGTCAATAAACTCCACAGGATGTGATTAGTCTCTTTATGTCCCCACTACTTTCTCCTCCTGTTGTGACAGAGCTGTGTCATGCATTGATCCCCTGTCCTAAATGAATAAATCATTATTAGGGTGCAGCGACACAGAAATGGTTTTCTCGCTCGATTTCATCAGCAAGAACAGGCCTAACCAGAGAGAGACAGTCAGCAGTTGTGTGGGCACATGCTGCATGTGCATGATTAATAAGAAGACACTGGAGGAGGGGGAGCTCCCGTATTCTTCTATGATTTTTGTGGGTATCACAAAGGTCAAGCATATGTAGCTGAAATTGTGGTATCTGATGCTCAATATGCAGCAAGTATGACAAATAAAAAAAATTCCCAAACACTTTCATGTTTCTAGTAAAGACATGTCTCCCACACGGGTGATTTTCTGAACAGTCCAAGGATACAGCATTGACCGGCACTGATAGAGCCTTGACTCCACTTCTAGTCACATCAGCAAACACAGCAACCTAATGTGCTTTGGCCAGTTAAGAGCTAAACTATCTAACTATAATAGAAACAGTAGAACAATTTAAACACACTATAAAAATCACTGTAAAGTGGAAAGCAGGAAGGACCCGAAAAGAAGGAGGAAGCAGGCAAACTAGTTGCAAATCTTGTTCAAATGATGTAACCACGCACGTTTAATGTTTCAAAAGTACAAAAATGCCCAATTCTACTTTCAAAATTACATTTCAGATGTAGGTAAATGAAGAAAGGATGTTGTAATAATGTTGTAAATATGTTTACGAAACTGTCTTTACATAACCCTTTACTAAAAATGTGTGATGTACATTTAGGGAAAGAAGAAGAGGAAGATTGGGTCTGTGACTGACTGCTGTACACTTTATTCAAATTACACTTGAACAAACAAGTTGATCACAAAGTACCTAAAGACACAGCTGAGCGACTATAATTAAATGTTATGGATCCCTGAACATGGTGACCTACATCACTGACCCATAACCACTTCCTTTTACATAGGTAGAGTCACATTTACACACTTCCTATTGTTGAAAAGATGCTTAATTCATGTGTTTGTTATGCTAGGAGCTTCAGCTGAAACTTTCTGTGTCCCTGTGTGTGTGGAGGGGCTAATCTGGGATCCTCCTGTTGGTTTCATTAACACCCTGTAATGGGATGGATAATCATTACCATTACAGTAGGTGTTAAAAAAGGTGGAGTTTGAGGTGTGTGTGTATGGGGGGAGCAGCCTTTGTACAAACACAGGTAGACAACTCATGATAGTAAAAGGATACCACATTTACCAGTAGGGTATGTTCAGGAACCTGTTTGGTTTTATAGCACCTCTTCAGTACAGCAGAGTAATAAAATATACTTTCGCAGTAGCAGTTCAAATAGTTTAACTTGGGGTAATTTAAGCACATATGAAGACATTAATTAATTCACATGGGCTGTGCTGCATGTCTGAATGTAAGAAAGCTGTCAGAGGCAACATGTCCTAAACAGGTGGCATTCAGGCTTAAAACAAAAGAGTGCCTGTTTCTGGGCCCTGAGGGGCTATCAGGATCCTGAGAACAGAGATCAGAGAAGGAAACTTAGATCTATTGTGGAGCCAAAACACAGATGTCTGGTGTATACAAGTGACAGAAATCCTGTCTGTACCAGACGGAGCAAAGCTTGCCGTCTGTTTTTACCTGGTTGCAACCACATCAAGACAGCTCAGATAGTGCTGACACTGTGGTAACACCACCCAGTTGGCACCTAATATGCTTTAAAAATCATATTCATTGTCTCTGAAACTATTTTACAAAGGTCTGGTCTTGTCTGTAAGCCATACCTCAATTATATTTGATGTGAATTATTTTCCCAGCTTGTAACCTTGTAATAATCGTGTTCTACCTCTCAATCAGGCAAATGTTGGACTTACATGTACATTTTACAACAGAAACTGCCACTCCATTGCCAGAAATCCATCTCCACTATTGCAAATGGGGTTGTCAAAAAGAAGGGCAGGGAGGAAGGCAGGGCGGGTGTGAAACAGGAGAGGAGAAGGGCTTCCCCTCCCATTGTCCCACCATGCAGGCAGGAACAGCCGTGGGGGCAACAGTTTCACTTTAATCACCCTCCCTGCTCTTCCTATTGCTTTTCCTACCACACAATGGCTAGTGTGGAGTTCAGTCGCACACACAGGAACATGGCACGTACCTCGTCCTCTATGACACTTACACAGGATGCACACATTCTGAATATACAAACATGCATAGCTAATCAAAAAGCAAAGGTCGTTGGCTGGTCAGCTACTGTATTTCCCGTACAGCTGAAAGTAAACCAACCACTTAACAGCGCTACTGACATTTATACTAAAATAATTGATGTGCTGACCCACAAGGCTGTCACGTGTTGCATGTGTTGCCCCCTTAGTAAAGTAGTGGTAGTGTATAAAGACAGCCCATAGTTAGTTCTTGGTTAAACCACAATGAATCGTGCAAAGCTGTTGTTCCACTGCTCTCTATGGGTTTAAACTTTCAAGCCTGTTGCAGTCTAATTTGTGATGTAACAGCATGTGTTTTGCCTCTGACGGCAGATGGAGAACACCTGCAGTGACGTTATTACTGATCGGGGCGTGGACAGAGGTGCAACCTGCTTGAAATGTTTAACTCAAAAGAGCCGTGCAGCAGCTGTAGCCCTTCAAAATCATTTTAAGCATTAAGGAGCCAGACAGGGGGAGGGAGTGGGAGGAGTGGGTGCAGTGTTCGCGTGCCTGGACCACTCAGGAAGGAAGTCCACTCCTCAAATCCTGGCACCGACCAGTGTGTGTTTGGAGGTTGACTGGTGATATGTGTTCCATGAACCCTCTGCAACAATACAAACTTTGCATGCTCTTTCAGTGCAGTCCACCCACACACATAGGTGTAAATCACACGCACACACTCACACATGGCCTTCCTGTCTTCTTTATAGCATCCGTGGTTGCTAAACCACACCACAGTTACAGACAGAGGATGGTAATGATCTGTTTAGAAAGCCAGTGAGTGACAGAGTTGAGAGTACATGCTGGATATACACTCATTATGTGTGCACTATGGCGTGTGGGGGCATTGTATTGAGGGTGGTAATGTATAGCAAGGTTAAGAGAGTGGCATCACATTGCTTGGCCTGGGGATATGTTTATTTTGTTGTGTTTTTGCAATGAAATGATAATTCAGAGCAAACATTAAAAAGTTTGTCTATTCGTGCTTTCCACTCCTGCACTAGTCAGAACAGGATGTGGTTGAAGGCAGCATGCAAGAACACTTTATGCAATATGTAAGGAAACGTCTCACAGCTGTCTATTTGGTTTCCTGAGTGTACATAAAAGGTGTGTGCTCAGATATGTCAGTGTTCACTATTCTGAGAAAGAAAGGGCTATTTTACAGCAATAATCAGTGTATATTGCAGAAATTGGAACAGAAGAGAAGTGAGATTTCTACTCTTTCCCAAGTTTAAGAGATGTCACGTGAGGTCTTGTATATATTGGCTAGTATCTCTCTCTCTGTAGCTGTATGAGAGGTACAGGCAATTTGACTCCCACAGCAGACATGTACTATCTCTAACCACAGAACACAAATATGCAGAACAAGAAATAAAACTGTGGTAACCAAAAATGCACAAAAACCAGGAAGCACGTAGCGTACAGAAATAGTGCATGGCAAATTGTTGGACTTCAGCTTTAAATCCAGATTGAGATTGGTAGCTATAATTAGTTTTTTGCACTGTGGTTATTTGTTTTGTGACTGTTGGTTCTAGGCAGGAACCGCATCCCATTTAACTTAAGATAGCAAATAATTTGAATAGATCAGTGGTTTACCATGCAACTTCCTGCTTGATATTAGGGTTATACCCTTATCAAACTTTACTTTAGTTAATACCCAAACTAATAAAAGACACCTGCTATTTTGCAAGGAACATCATTATGTACCTTCATTAGCATAAATAATCTATATTACTATTTAAATATTGGCTTCTATATTTTATTCTTTTAACTTTGTTTTGTTCTGGTTAGATGTGTCATTCAATTGCTAAATATGAATGTTTTGGATTTTGTACCTTGGAAAAACTAGCTGTCATTGTCATCAAAGTTCATATGTGATTTAAATGTTTCTTTTTTCTTCTAAAGATCTTCCTCTTTCCTTTGGTTTTCTTTGTCACCTGTTATATAAAAAACTCAGGCATACAAATCCTGGAAAGGCAAACCCTAACCACAACCATAACACAGAATCTTTATAAAATCTGACTCAGGGACTTTAGTATATCAGATTTCAGACTTTAGAATATCAGGTTTACTAAAGTTGATAAAACTGTTTTATGTGTTACCCACATTCTTTCATACTTGTCTTTTCTCTCTAGCTAAAGGCGAGATGTCCCACGCTCACTCCACACTGGGTGTTTCAGCCCCCCACCTGTACTATACCTGTCCAGAGGGTACCACTGTCAAACTGGTGTGTAATCACAGAGGTACCGCCGTGCACAACACGGATATCTTGAGGCGCGTCTGGCTTTTCACGCCCCACAGTGACCAGCACTGTACGGCACGGGTTGGCCCACGTCATACTGATGGTCATTCCCACAGCAGCCACAGCTTGCCAGGGTTGCAATTTGGATTTGCAGAGCAGGACTTCTGGGTGGTTCTGCAGAATGTGACCCACGCTGACCAGGGTCGCTACTGCTGTATGATCCAAGATATCCAGGTGGATCATAAACACGGCACCTTGATGCAGAAACCCCACAGCCACATTGTTCTCCAAGTTACACCACGTAAGGACATCAAATATATGGGTGTGATGGGTAAACTGGCGGGGGAAGACGTTAATTTGTATCAATCATAGTGTCTTTTGCAAAGTTGTTAAGTAGGACAAGATCATCATGTTGGTTTCCTAAATTCTATGTAATTTGGTCTATGAGTGCTCATTGTGGTCTATGGCTTTGTGCATAATTATTATATGTTCAGGTGGTTGACAACTGTTGCATTAACCAGACAGAAACCTAAACAGATGCTACATTGTGATACACTGTATGTGAGGAAAAACTGTATTTGTTTTGGGGTTTTTTTACAGCGAGAAATGGATCTCAAGAGTGCACTATCTGGGATCCCACGCCACCTGGAGGTATGTCACCTTATTTGAGCCTTCATAGCCAATGGACGACTGGCCATTTATTCAATTTATTTAACTCACAGTCTCTCTTGTTGCTTCCCCAGGCACTGTGCCAGTGGCCTTGGCCGTAGCAGCCTGCATCTTGGCTCTGCTTTCTCTGCCTCTTATCCTGGTGCTTGTGTACAAACAGAGGGAGAACGCCCAGTCGAGCAGACGTATGTATAACTGATATGCGCAAACAAGCACACACACATTCATTTCCATGTCCAAACTATGGGTCGAATATAAATCTCTCACACTGGGTTCCCCATAGTGTTTTGTCTGACACATATTTCCTGTCAGTGAGGTGGATTAACTGTATTTCACACAGTAGGAAGCACATTCACACTCTATCTGTGGTGTTCCATTCTGTTTCAATTTGTTCACAATGGCCCATTTCCCATTTCCTCTTTCCCAGGTGCACAAGAGCTGGTGAGGATGGACAGGTATGTTTTCCCACAGTCTGTCAGGCAGCTGACTACATAGACCAGCTTCAAAACACAGCTGCTCTTTTGAATAATAATTCTGTGTACATGGATATTCTACAGTGTAGGGGTGACAATATGTCTTATACAATAGATTCTTTTTAGCCAAACAACCTGATTAGGCCAAAACGTGTTACAGCTCTGCTGATGATTCCTATCAACTTTTGTTTACTAATGATCTACATATAGCTTTAAAACATCAATAAATGACTACTACATTCATTTGGACACATATCGAATAACTGTACAACAAAAAGGACTTATGCCCAGAACACTGGTGGTCTTTACTTACCTTTACACAATATACTGAATATTTGTTGAATACAAAAGTGACAGAAGTAAAGCATCTAAATGTCTTGAGCAACACAAGAAGTTTGTTGGGTCATACCGGCAACATCTTACTCATCTGGATTATTCGCTTTTTTGTGTGTCTATCTCTCTCCCTGTGTGTGTGTTCAGTGAGCCTCATGGCCATGAAAACCCCGTGTTTCTTGGGGGATCACCACAGATTAAGACCCGCACCGTGTCCCAGATCATGACAAGGCAATCCTCAGAGACAGGACGCCACTTGTTGTCTGAGCCAGGAACCCCCCTTTCTCCTCCTGCACATGGGGATGTATTCTTCCCATTAGAAGGTAGGACACACACAAAACTATACATCCTGGCACGACAGCAACTCATAATTCAGGGCACACACTGTTCAAAGACAGATCACTTGATAGAATGGACCTACAGTAGGATAGGAGACAAGAGTTGAAAAGTGTCCTGAGATAACTTCTGTTATGAATTGGCGCTATACAAATAAAATTGAATTGAATTGAATTGAATTGAATAGCTATCTACAGATTAAAGATGCTTATTATTAAATCACTCAGCACAGGCTGGGACATACCCTCTAAGCCATTCTCCATTTAGTTCATCTTTTGCCCTTTAGCCTGGCTCAAACTTCTTTCTGACCAGCACCATAACACAAAGAAAGCACAGTATGAGTTATCTCAGTCTCAGGGGACTTCATTTACATAGCTAAACGGGTGCCTTTCAGTTTAAGAATGAGTGTGCATTACATCCATTGGTGGATCATGCCTTATTAACTACATTCTGAATGCGCACACCTGACTCCCTTCACATCCCCATTCAATACACAAATTATGTACAAAAGTACTTAAGTAGTGGCACGTAACTGTATTGCACAAGGAGATCTGTTGTAGTTCTGGAAATGTCAAAATGTACACTCAGTATGGTAAAAAAACTTATGCAATCAAAGAACAAACAAGCCTGTACGTCTTTTGAAACATCCTGCATGTGGGGGAGGTGTTTGCGGAAAGTTGCTCACATACTTGTGCAAAATTGCACGCTCACACTCAATAACAGCTGGGTTGAGTCTGATGTGACTAAGAAAAAATATTCGGCATAGGGAGTTTAATTTCTCTCCCCCACACAACTGAAACAAGCTCCTTATGCTGTCATCATCTGAATTCTTCTCTTGCCTCCTTCACAAGTCATTCTCCACCCATCAGCACTCTCATTTAACACTAATGGCCCCTTCAGTCGTTCTCTCTGACTCAACTTGAAATACTGAAACATTAGTTACGGTGAAAGGGTTCAATCCTGAGTGTTTTTCTACCGATTCCCAAGGCACCTGTGCAGACATTCCAGGCATACTGAGGTGGATTGCCCCGTTTCCTGGCAGCACTGTCTATGACGGTATAGGGAAAGGCCAGAACCAGACAAAATCCACCCTAAAAAATCCCATGTATCATTTCTATGACCTTGAACAGTTTATTGTGCAAATATGGGCAAGTGAAACCTGTACTGGAGGTTCTCCATTGACAATATGCTGTATGTGAGAAGTGACAAGCAGTGAGACCTAATTGAGATGCTAGAAAATAGAGCCTAAATAGAATTCTGATGTTGTCTCTAGAAGGAAAACCTCTGCTACAGTAAGTGAAAGATTGAAACCTCCGCTTCTTGATTGTATCTCAGATTACAGCAAGGTTTTTCTTTAGAGAGAGACACAAATATTAATAAATCTAAAATCCTAGAAAAACCCAAAGCATATCGTACACGTTTCTCAAGGTGGATTTTCCCCTCCAGAGCACATTTTCTTCTGTCTTCCACAAACAATATGCCTGGTTTGAGGTTTAGTGTAACATGGATAAAAGCTACACTTCAGCTTTCTTCTTCATCTTTTTTGGCCTGTTGAACTTTAGCTGAGCGGAATTTAACTAGCAGCAGTTCCCTCTTATCTTCAACATGGCGCAACCCAGACTTGAGGCCTCTTTGTTCCCTTTTTTGATGGGTTTCCAGTTAATCATATCTTATTCTAAGAAACCTATCAGTGTACAACTCTATGGAGTAGGAGGTTGTGAAAAATAAATTCTGATCCGAATTTTGCGCATGATGTACACATTGAAACGTACAAACCCCCTCATATCTAAATTTCCACATATCAGCACACAGACATAAAATTTTGCAAATTGTGCAGGTTGATACATGTGGATTACCTGCTATCATTTCTATACTCTCACTGACCTGCGCTGTTCTCTTTTCCAGACACCATCCCTGAGTCTCCAGACTTCATGCAGGTTTAAAGGGGGTTGAAACCTCATTCATTGTTCTCACTGCTGATCTGGAGACAGCCCTGCAACTCTCTTCCTCTTCTCTCTGCCTCCAGAGTGATGATGCCCATATCAGCTATCTCACAATAACCTCTGCTGAGATTGTCGTCTGTACATTGTCTGGACCGCAGGAGGGAACGGACTGTGTTTTTGTTTTTTTTTTCAATTATTTCCACCTGCAACAACAGCTGGAGGCAAAAAGCAAAGTTTTGGTTGTGAGCACTTGTGTTGTGGAGCGGGGGCTGGGTTTGTGTGCGACATTCCATCAAAACGCTGACAATAGCTTGTGGACCAATAGATGCCCCTTCGTTGCTTGAGAAGAACCGATAGTGTTAAGGGTGGGGGATCTGCCAAGTGCAGGTGTGGCACGTTTCTGTGGCTTTCACAACTACCAACTATGGTGCATTTACTGGTTTGGTTTTGTTCATTTAGGCTGGTGTGCAGTCTGTAATTCAAACCCTGGTGTGGACCAAACAACTGCACTTGCACAGCTTGGGTTTATGTCCACAGAAAGTAAAAAAGGAGTTTAAACATGTGTGTCCTACTCTGTGTAATTTCGCATTAAAAAGTAAGAACTTAGCAGCCATACACAGCAACAAGCCCTCACTACTCTATTACAATACAAGACACCTTGTTTCTGTTCTGTCTCCTGCCATTCCACCGTTATTCATGACAGAAGTGATACATTTTTTAAATGTACTAGTTTTCCCTCTGTCATCCCTGTAGCGCTGATGATGAAAGATAACAATCACAAAAAACTGTCCAGTAAGAGTTGTCTGTCAGTCCATGTGGACACAAATGGACTGTAATTAAAACACAAGTGTACATGTATCTTTTTTCAGGTGTGAAAGTGACCTAAGGCTCTCTCTCATCCCAGTCATTGTAGTAATGCGCTTGAATAGCTTCATACCAAATGAGGCTCAATCATCAGAGAAGTCCTAATATTCTTGTACAAGTCATTTGTTTTTATAGCATTATTACACTGTTCCTCTGAATCATTTCCACTTGACCTCTGCTTCTTTTCTCTTCCCTCTTTGGTACCTCAGTTACTGTCAGCTCTGTCGCTCTAAATACTCTCCTTCCTTCCTGTATTGTCAGAAACGCAGCATTTCACAGTGGCCTTAAATATAGTCACAAACTGCTGAAAAGTGCAGTAAGTATTTTGATAGTTAGGATGTTTTTCATGTACAGTTAAATATTGAAGAATAAAATCTTTATTGATTTTCTCCTGAATGTAGCCTAATAGATTGTTAATTAAAAGAACACCATCATAAAACAGTTTAACCACTGCCATCTCAACACTGTTTTTGTGAATCCTTTTCAGATTTCTTTTGTTTTCATGTACAGTACCTTGATTTAATTTTTGAGATGTATACATTAATGTCATTTGTATTTTTTGCGTGCAATGGGATGTTAATAAGTAAATAGAGTGACAGAAAATGGGAAGTGATTGAAATGATATTGTTAGCAATTGTGAGAAACCACTCTTGTTTATTCATACTGAGGTAAAACGTGTACAGCAGAAATCATCTCAGAGTGATGTGTAGCAGCTGTCTAGGACAGGGTATTATGTATGTATGTTAAGATTTGAATACTTTTATAAGTACCAAGATCAAACCGAGATCCTTTTCAAATGTGCCTGTGTGTGTGTGTGTTTGTGTGTGTGTGTGTGTGTGTGTGTGCATCTGGATCTGCATCTGTATGTATGTTTTGTGTTTTAGACTGTAAAAAGCTTTTATTAGACATATACACAGTTTGTTCTGCGTATTGCATTTAAATTGCCCCCTGTTGTAGCTTGTATAATAAAATGGTGCTCTTAAACCTTAAATCCAATGTGTCTTGTCTTTGAAATCATTGTTCCTTTAAACTGGCAGGTCTCCAAAACTATCACTACAGAAGGACGTGCTGCACTTGCTACCTAGGGAGCCATTACAGACGGAACAAGGTTGTTCCACTTGTGTGCCTCTAAGATGGTGCACACCAGAGGGAGACTGGCATTGAGGAGAGAAAATGATAAAACAATCTTAGTATTTTGTTTTATGAGAAGAGATGGAGAGCTAGATGGTAGGAGGGGAAGCCTGTTGCTAGCCATTTCCTCTCCTCAGTGCCTTTTCTGCACTCTTACATTAGCTGTTTATATGTTGCATTACCAGGAGCTGCATTTATATAAGTTTATACTACCTACATCTTACTGTGTGACCCAGAGAAACAAAGTAAAAAAAAACAACACATTTTAATATGCCTTTGATGCTACAGATATTGCTAAACAGTCTTGTTCCTCTTTTTGGAAATTTGACTTGTGGCTTTCCTGTTTACGAAGATGTTTCCTGTGCATTCACAGCTGATGCTCATACAGAACATCAACCAAACACTACTTAATACACTGTGTGGGCTGTGTGAAGACAGAAGGTCTTGTTATGTGTCATACCTAACCTGTACTGAATCTTGGCACAAGGGAGGTAGACATAATCTCCACAAAAAGTACAGCTTGCAGGTACGATTGTTTATAGTACAATGACCAAAAGAGGGCTGAATCCGACAAATTCAAATCACCATGAACAGTTCAGATTACATTTACACCCCTAGAGGTCACTGCATTATACTGCATGAAGTAGTATGTTGAGATAGAAATAGCTGAGATAGTGCTCTACTTGTTGCAGCTGCTGTTCCTATCCCATCTTACCGAAAGAGGTGGCGCGCCATCATCCTCCACAGTGACAATGAGTCGGTACTCTTGCTGGCGCTCTCTGTCAGGAGGGGCCGGCCGTGTCACCATCTCTCCGGTCACGCGGTCCATGCGGAATGTCAGGTCCTGATTTCCAGCAGTGATGTAGTAAAACAGCATTGCGTTGGGACCGATGTCTCGGTCGGTAGCCATCACACGGAGGACTGAAGTACCACCTCCAACATTCTGCAATTTACATTATAAAAGAAGCATCATTATTGATTGCTCATGGTAGAATAAACACAAACCTGTGACCGAATATTTGTTTAAATCATAAGGACGTAAGGATAAGATGAACATCATGCACCATGTGATGTGCGAATGCGTCCCTACCTCACTTATGCTGACGTTGTAGCCCCTTTGGCTTTCAATAACAGGGGCATTGTCATTGATGTCCAGGATGTTGATGGTGAGGGAGTGGTCTGTGTGTCTGGGAGGTGAACCATTATCGATGGCACGCACCTGTAACAACATACACGTGCACTGGTGTGTACAAGTCTAACCATACATTTGGACAAAAGGCATACAATCACATAGATATATAATATATAAATATTTTGATATGATCGGATCATTCAAAACCTAAATAATGGAAATCAAATCACTATGATATAACACACAACACACAATCAGATTATTTTGCGGTGAGGTAAGATATCGAGTCAGGGTTGTGACATATATGTATAATGAGTCATATAGATCCTGTAATGTGGTGAAAGATGTCATAACTACATGTGGATTGCTGCCTGACCTTCAGTAGGTAGCGGTCTACCGACTCTCTGTCCAGGGGAGCATTGACATAAACCTCCCCATAGGTGTGATTCACTGTCTTGATCTTGAACACATCCTCCATGTTGCCTGCCACCAGAGTGAAATTGACCTGAGAGAGAGTAATGAGTCAGAATAAGACAAGGAGAAAGGTGAAGAGATAGACAGAGAGTGAAAGAACGGAAGTATTACAGTATAACAACTGCTTTGTTTCACTCAGAATCATAAAGTCGCCCATAATGTATAAATAGTTGACAGGTTGTGTTTGGCTGTGCCGGTTCTACATCTTAAATAAATCACAGCACATGCCAAAGAATCAGTAGGGAGCACAGCTAAGACCCCCATGGCGTAACAGAACCAAGAGCAAACAGACAAGAAATTCCACTGAATTCATGATTAAAAAAGAAAGTTTAAGAAATCATAACTGCCAGACAGGAGGGGGCTGGGCTAGTGGAGAGAAAAACTAGCACAAGCAGAGTAAAAACAAAAAACCAATGCTGACTACTCACTATACTCACTATGCTGATATGTCAAAATCAGTCAGTTGATGTGAAACTGAGGCAAGCTTCATTTGACCTACAGTACTGTAATCTGCTGAAGTAAACATTTATAGTACTCATATCATATAAAAAGGAACAACCAAAACAAGTCAAACCTAACTTGTAAATGTCATATTCAGTGCTTTGACGCCTGGTAAGTAATAGGTGACATTGATCGGTAATGTTTAAGTGCCATACGTACGATCTTCAAACTTTAATTGGAGTTTGTTTTTTTAATCTGTCAGAGTGAGAACGTGTTTTTCCACCTTTCTTCTTTATTCTCACCAGTCCATTTAATCCAGCATCCTTGTCCCTTCCCAGCACTACTGCCACTTTTTTCCCCATGGCTGTGTTTTCTGCGACGTTCACTGAAGTATCAGATGTGATGTCAAACTCTGGGCTGTTGTCATTCTCATCCAGAATAGTGATTGAAACCTGTCAAGAGATATGATCAAATGTAATCCGGCAATCCATAACTTGCCAGACTGATGCAATACTTACCTTTGAGATGAAGCCAATAACCAGAAAGATACCGCAGATGAATACATTTTCATGTTGCCTTCAAAAAGAACAGCAAGTCTTACCTTCTGCACTTCCAATGATGCAATGAATAAAAGAGGAATGCCATTAAGTTTTCTATAACAGAATAGACACGACACACACTGTGTTATATAGAATGTTGTACAGGAAAAGAAAGATAAATGAACACAATTCAGAATGAAGCATACCACAGTGGAGTCCTTTTTAGGTCCTCCATCATCAGCTACAACAGTCAAGGTGTACATATCTCCCCTCTCTCTGTCCAGCAGGCCTGTCACTGTGATACGGCCCTGAAAGACCACACATATCAGCATACATCTCCACATCCACAGAGATTCCATCCAAGATAGAAATCATCCCAGTGTGACCGACGAGGAGCACGGATAGAAATAGAGAAAGACTGACGTGTCATAAAAATCAACAACAAAAAAATCTCCATTTCTCATCTATCAAAGGAATCAAATGACTTCAAAGCAAACAAGCTCTTTGATCAGCTTACAGTCATGCAGCAACAAGAGTATAGTAGAGTGCTTAAATCACAGAGGAAGAGGTGTTATTGAATCACACTGTGGTTAATGGATAAAACATATTTGACAGCAGGTGGGTGTAGTCTTTGAAGTGTACAAAGAAGAGGCATGTACATTGTGCTCACATCATCAGTGACCTTTCCTCCACTTCTCCACAACTCACCGTGACGCTGTCTATCTTGAAGAGGGCCAGAGCTGCAGGCGACGTGTCAGGGTCGAAACGGTAAGTCAACTGGTTCAAGTTGTCGGCCGACTGGGCCTGCACCTGGACCACCTCGGTCCCCGTGGCGATGTTCTCACGCAGCGAAGCCTCATAACCGGCAGAGAAGAAGGCCACAGCCTCATCCAGCTCATTAAGTAACGTGACATAGACGGTGCAGAAGACTTGGTGGAAAGGTGAAGCCTGATCAGTGGCCGAGACGTTCATCAGATAGGTGGTCTTGGTCTCATAGTCCAGGTAGTCCACAGTGGTTATCAAGCCAGTGCTCACATCCACCTCAAACTTGCGGTCTGAGCCGGACACGAGGGCGTAAGCGACGGCTCCACCATCACCTGAGCAGGGAGAAGGGGGGTGGTTGGTAGGGAAAGCTTACAATAAATAAAACCTTTTAACATACATTGAAACTATAGTTACAACATGCAAACAGAAGTCCTGTTGTGTTTATTTCAGTTTCAGATCTAATGTTTTGGAAAATGCATTTCACAGTACCAAATGCGTCATATGGTTCCTAAGAAAGACATCATGGGAAGTGAATAGAGGAAGTCTGTACTGTGGAGCAGAAGTTCAGATTTAAATGCCTATTACAGTGAACACTTGTAACATAACAAGGTAAAAGACAAAGTAGGTTAAGTGATTTTATATTCTACATTGGAGTGGCACCCACTAGTGTAAATGTTGGTGACCTGCAAAACAATCGACTGCCAGCAGAGCAGAAGAGGAAAGCTTAAAGTCACAGTGAGCTGAATGTCTCTTTCTGTTTTGAACAAGGTTGAATAAAACCTGATACTGAAGGGTCGACAACAAGAACTGACTCTAACAACTGGACTCACCAGTGTCAGGATCTGTGGCACGCACCACGATCACAGAGGTGCCAATGCCAGCGGTCTCCCGAAGGCCCAGACGGTTGTATTGTTGCTGGGTAAACACTGGCACCTCGTCATTGGCATCGTCTACATATACGATCACCTGCAGGGGAAGACATATGTGCATCAACTACACATATCAACTTTAAGGAAAACAATCTTTGGGAAAAGGTCTTGGTCATTTTATCTTTTAGGCAATGAGACCAAAGACATAAATATTACAAATCCTGGCTGGATCCTCTAAGTCCACATTTCTACTGTCCATTTTTAAAAGATAGCCTGTTGTTCCTTAAAGGTATAAATCCTCATGCTCTATAATATAAAGAACAAACTAATTCTACATACAGTAAGCTGCACATTAGGCATGAATTACTGGGATGGATCTTGCATATGTTACAGCATCTTCCCCATCCTCCTACAGCTACCCTCCTCTTTCTCACCCTCACAGTGCTCCTCATGCTGCCCTCGTCACTGTTGTAGGCTTCCACCTCCAACACATGGGAGCTGCTGGTTTCCCTGTTCAGAGCCCTGAGGCCTCTTGTCACCAGCCCGGTCTGTCTGTCGATGCTGAACAGATTGTTGCTGTTCCCTGCATGCATGCATTCACAAACAGGAGCACACACACACAGACAGAAAGAGAGAGAGGGAAAGTGTCTCAGCACAGACTTGTATGTACATTTTAACAAAACATTTAATCTAGTCTTTGGGTCTTGATAATTTCATTTGCTTCCACAGCAAATTCACTTGTTTAAAGAACAATTTTTATTTCTGGTATTTTCACTATGATAAGAGCTGCCTTGTACCTACTGACTGCTTCTTGGCAAAAAAATTGGAATTGGAAACAAGCAGAATTATCATACCTGTTCATTGACAGAATTTTAACACAAAAGCTTGAATCATTAAAATTATAAAAACTGTTTCTTGGAGATTGTTTTTGTTGCCCATTTTGAAAAACTGGATTAACAGTGCTACCAAAATAAACACGTAGTGCATCTTGGGAGCCCGTTCTTTTAGTGCATTTGTTTGTGAGCAAGGAAACCATGTGCAAAGTCCATGTGGGAGGGCAATCAAAGTAGAACAGCTCTTACCAGTGATGATCCTGTACAGAACTTGACCATTTTCCCCCTGGTCTGCATCCGTAGCTTGAACCTGTACAGACAAACACAAGCAGAAAGTCTGTGTTTACAGAGGTTAACACCAAACACAACCAAATCTACAATATGTAAACAAAAACTGTCCGGCTACTAACGCGTTACACCAATGCCATCTCCCTTTACAACTGCTACCATTTGTTTCATTTTACAGTTTGACAGTGGAGCCAATATAGTATAATGTTTATTACCATAAAGTCACATGATAGTCAGTACATTTCATAGATTTTTCCTTTCTTCAATCAAAAAGATACATTGGAATTCCTCCGCATTCACCACACATCCACTGTTGCCCACTGTCTTGTTGCCACAACAACACCAACATGGCCTGGCACTAACTCTGTAATGGCAGAACCCCCCTCTCTCTCTCCCTCTCTCTCTCTCTCTCTCTCTCTCTCTCTCTCTCTCTCTCTGTCTCTGTCTCTCTCTCTCTGTGTGTCACAGGCTGATAGCTAAAAGGAGCCAAAAACCCAAACCCAGCACAGACAGCATGGCTCCACAGCATATACAGATAAATAGTGAAGCATGCTGGGCTGCTGGTGAATGGGCCATGTCATAAGACTGACTTCTGAATCCAGAGAGGCACAGAGCCGCTGGCACTGGATGAGGCGGACTTCATGTCACACCCTGCTCCTCTGTGGATGTGTCAAAACCTGTGGAGGTGCCTACAAAGTGCATATTCAATAGCAATACAGACACACACACACTCAAGACACTCGAGCACATGTACGTGCACTCGGGTACGCACAAATACAGATTCACACACTCTCACAGTCTCTCTCTCTCTCTCTCTCTTGCCCTGTGTGTCCTCCTTTGCTCTCTCTCACTCCCCCTGTGAAGAGGGGCCCAACTTCAGTCTCATTAGCTTTATAAAGAGATGTGGAGAGAAGAGGAGAAAGAGGAGGAGAGGGGAGGGGGAGACGGGAGAAAAAAAGAGGCTGGGGGGTCAGATTGGTGAGTGATGAATAGGGTATTACACAGCGGACTGCACCACTTAGGCCATAAAAGGGGTGTATAAAGTGTAAGACTACATTGCAGAGCCAGATGTTGTAAGTGTAAGCATGTGGAGTGTAAGCATTAAGAGATTATTCACTAAGCCACTGCATGGCTCAGAAAACACACTATTGCCTTTGGCTCTCTGGGATGAAAACAACAGAGAGATATTTCAATTCTAAAACTGTTACCCACATTTTACCCCCTTTTCCTCCTTGTTCCCCTCTTCCTCCCCAGCGTTTTCCCCTCTGTCTCTGGGAAAGCAGCAGTTTAAGGGGGGAAAAACAAGTGCGTGGAGCCAAGAAACAGGTCTGACCTCAGTTACTGGAATTAAGCAAGGTGCTGTTTTAAAGAGTTTCTAAAGTGTGGGTGTAAGTATACATTTTTCAAGGGTTTTATTCCAAATTACTAAATGTTCAGTCTGGAGAAGAAATGTTGATTGCTTAGCATTTAAGAGGTAAACATAATTAAATTCTTTCAAATCTTAACGTCCAAAGATTGCTAACAGTCTAACTGATGTCTCTAACAATACGTATTTTATGTCTGCTGTGGAGTCTCATTTTGGAATGAAACTCCTTAAAGGCATGTGAGAACTTGACATGTGCTTGACTAACTGCACATTGTCTAAGGGAGTATGTGTAGACTGTTGTATTATTGGGACTTATCTCGAAGCACGATTTGAATATTAGCTGAACATTTGACATCTATGAACTGTTATTGTATTCCCCATTTTTTTCTTCAACTATACAGATAATGCAGAGAATATACTGTTAAAAGAATATCTAATAAGCATTTGCTACTAAGAAACTAGAAGAACTTGTGAGTGCACAATTGGTCAAAATGTGAATAGGTTGGACAGAGTTTGCTTGAAAAGAAGCTAAGAATTGAGTTTGACTGTTTGAAAACTTGCTGAGCACTCAGATCCAGAGGAGCAACAATATGGGGGGGGGTAGAGAGGGAGAGTACCTTACAGCTAAGCTGCCAAGCTTAAGAGCAGCGTACCTAATCACAGTAGTGTGCAGTACAGTCTATAGCATGTGTGGATGAGAAAGAAAGTTTGTGTTTGAATAGTTGTGTGTGTATGTGTGTGTGCGTGTGGCATATGTGCTTGGAGGCGCTGACTAATGAACTGACTCTCTAACGAGCCATCCTGCTCCACTGGCCTTTTCACAGCTTTCCTGGCATTTGGTCTTAAAAATAATTTCACGTCCCAATGTGTTTCCCTTAAACCGATAAGCCATGCTTTGTCTCCGCTGAATTAAGGATGATGACATTTACAAATGTTACTATGCTGAAGATGGGGGCACGCAAAATGAGAGGGGGGGATAATTGGAGACCGGGGTAGAAGAGGTGGGTGCCTTGCATTTTACAAGGGGCATTTTAATAAACCCAATTTGTTTTACATTGAAGAAAACCTGTCAAGCATTGACTGTTTTGTAGTCCTTGATTTAATAGCTACATAATTGCCGCAAATGCCAAACACTCACAGCATCTGTATGTGCACGCAAGCGTCTATGTGCATGTTTGTGCATGTGTGTGTGTGTGTGTTTATCTTAATCCCTTGAGTGTATGATCTGCATACAGTGAAAATGAACCTACTCAGCTTGGTTAGACCTGGTTAGTGGGGCATGGAGCTGCTGTGGCACTTGGCTGTGCCTGACCACTCACATACATAATCTAATATTGTTTTCTCCACCCAGGGCCGAGACAACATGAACACCAGTGAACCAGGCTCCAACTTCACCTTTACCTCAAACACAGAAAATGTGACTCTGTCCAACTTGACCACCACCACCATCTCTGCCACCATCTCACAGCCTCCATCCTATTCTTCAGACAACTATGACCCAGAATACACCATCATGGTGGTACTGGGCTTATCACTGCTACTGGCAGGGTTAGCGGCCTTCCTGGCAGTATGCCGGCCATCGGAACAGGATGGGGAGTCTGAGGCGGGCTGTAGCCCAGGGGAGAGCCTAACCTGCGGAAGAAGCCGGTCCAGTGAGCCACAGCTCAAGGTGTGGAAAAGGCTGGGCTCATATCGGCGTTCATACAACCTCTCTTTCAGACGACCGCCCCATCGCAGACCGCACGAGCGCGAGAGCACACATGTGTCACGGTCTCCGGCCCGACAGACACCACAGCCAGAAGCCAGTGTGGAGCCCCACCTCACTATGCCTTGTCTATTTGACTATGTCACTGAAATCTGACTTGAGGACAGGCTGAGGCCTGACTGACTGCTCCCCAAAACAAGTGATACACTGTATATTTTACAGTTGGTGCTAATACCAAGCGTGGGTGAAGAGTACATAAAAATAATTTTCAGCATTTGCTTTAACATACTCTGAATGCTACTTGGATATGGTTTGCAACAAAACAATTGTTTAAAAATAATGCAATCAAAAAGCCATAGAAGAGTTTACACATTTGTGTGACTGATCTATTCACCCTCCATAGAAGGCAGCATTCTTGGGCAGTGATGCGCTTTTTCAGCACAGCTCTGTACTATATTCACGAGAGGTAAAAATGATTTAATCCGAAAACAACTCCATTTGATTACAATTCTCCCAGTAAGGATTTGATGCATCTTCACATTCTGCACAGGAGTAAATTGGATCTGATTTGATTGCATTCAAATTTTTCCAAGGAGTATAAAAGTAACTAAACAGATACAGCGAACAGTAACTCAACATATAAAAATCTTACAGCAAGGCACTAGTTCAAAGAATGGCTTTGGTCTTAAAAGTATTTTCCAATCACAATCAAAGTGTGGGTACAAGCATCATTTCTCTGCTTCACACTGCTTATTGTTCTGATGCAGAAAACCCCATCCACCTGGTAATTCATGAGCATTAAGACAGATACAAGGCATTATTTCATATAATACGATTTCATGCAGGTCTCAAAACATGATGGGTTACCAACAGTGACGAGACAAATGCAACCTGAGCCAAAAAGAGACCACTCTGTACCGGATTATTTGTGTTTTGTGATTATAACTTTAAGAAATAAAGTTTGACATTTAAAATTTTGCTGCTGAAACTTCAGTTTGTTACCAGATGTTTTTAGCACTGTGTGTGTGTTTTCTACCTGAAGGATGCTGGTTCCTTGGGGCACGCTCTCCAATATGCTGGTGTCATAGCTGTTTTGTAGGAAGATGGGTCTGTTGTCGTTAACATCCAGCACCTCAACAAATACAGTGGCTGTGCCTGTCCTCCGGCTGCCCGCTGGACCGTTGTCTATGTGCAGAAACAGACACATTCACCAACACATCAGCTGCAATCATTCAGGTTAATGCTAATTTTATGGTTGACAAGGACAACTCAAATAGACATGGCTGGGCTCAAAACTTGGGTCATTTTCAGCTGCTGGTGAATTAGGAAAAAAATGTGTAATTCTATTCTCCTTTACATTATCTCTGCCTCTTCTCTCCTCTCTTGTGTCTCTGGCCCCCCCAGCAGATAAGCCAGCCTGACTCAATGGTTTCCAAAACAGGAAAACCTCAGAGTTTTTGTTCTTTCTTTTAAAACAGGAACAAAGGCAGTTGAGCAATAGTCTGAAATCACCGCAGATGTGCAGGCATCGCTCTGTTTTTCATCATTGTCGCACAAAAGTACAAAGGAGCAGCTTTGAAGATCACAAACAAAACAAGCCAGAAAACAAGTCCTATTACAACAAATATAAACACACAGACTGTAAAAATGAGGATGATAAAAGACGATAAAGGTTTTGTATCATTATAAAAAGGTATCAATTTATGACACACCTATAGCTTCCACGACCAGAGTGTATGCTGCCTGGGTCTCTCTGTCTAGGCCAACCACCGTCCGAACAACCCCATCTCTGAAGCCCACGCTGAATTTACCGTCCTGATTACCACCTAAAAATACAGAGCACAATCACATTTCCAAATTAATTTACAGCATATTAGTTAAACATAAACACAGTACAGCTATGACACTAAGAGCTCACCTCATACATAAGTCACACAGAGATGGATGGATGGACAAAGGTACTGTATGTGCACATAGTTCTCATAACTGTACAACACTGTAGCCCTTAGACAACACACAAAAACAACTCCCACTGTGACCTCTGACCTGTGATGAAGTAGCTAAGCTCGGCGTTGAGGCCTGCGTCGTTGTCAGAGCAGCTGAGGCGCGCTACAATGTGGTCTCTAGGGACACTCTCCTTCAGGGAAACATTGTACACGCGAGGGTTGAAGGTAGGCGTCTCATCATTTACATCCAGAACTGACCCCCGCACACAAACACACAGACAAAAAAAGACATGAGGACACACAGATAGATGTACATGAGGACAAATAAGGCAGCAGGGTGGTGCAGTGAGTAGAAAGACTATTGTTAAATCAGAGGATTTGAAGTCTAGTAAAACTTCTGAAATTATTTCCAGCTTGGGTGTACAGCTCTCTGTGAAGACGTGAAACAGATCTCTGCGAAACAGTTCAAAATATTTTGATGCTTCTGACTCATCTGATCCATTTGAGAAACGCCAGAAAACCTTATTCAGTTTTTCCATTTCCTTTTCACAGCAGTCACACCATTTGTCTCCTTTTAGGATTTTTCTTGTCCCACCAGCAGGTGGCAACATCCTTTTCAGCAGATTCCTGAGAAGTCAGTGGTTAATTATCTGCCATAATGAAGTAACCCTTCATGTCACACAGAATCCAATCATACCGTGGCTTGGCAGTTTCATATGTAGGGTAATTTCAGAGGGAGCAAAGGGAAATAAAACCCAGTTTCTCATCATCATCAGCCACATTTTCAGACTCTCACCTGTGACAGTGAGGGTTGAAGTGGAGGTGCGAGGGAACTTCCCTGCATCATATGCAATAATTCTCAAATGGTACTGTCCAATCTGCTCACGATCCAAGACTGCCGTGGAGGTGAGAACACCAGTCGAGGTGTTCAGGTAGAAGTCGAGGCGAGGCATTCCCATCTGTAACGCCATTGTAATCAAACCGTTCTTATCCTCATCTGGGTCCTCCACCTGAACCTAGAGCAGAAAGAAGAGAAGAAATGATAAAGAGGAAGGCAGAGAAAGAACACAGGAGTTATAGACTGGGTAAAGGATGGCGGATGCTGTAAACAGTATGTTTTTTTTATTGGATAGCAATAATCATGAAGTATTGCCAGGAATATGTTTGGAAGTCTTATTAATATCAGAAAATCATTCCTGTTCCCCTAAAACAGAAAAATAAAATATTCTGAAACTTTTTCCTTTTTTAAAATGCAGTCATCATGGAATACAGTCTGATATTTTACCCTAAAAACTGAGGATCCAATGGGCTGTCCCTCTGGCACTTCAGCCACAAAGGGTAGGTTGAGGAAGGTTGGGTCATTGTCATTCAGATCCAGCAGGTTGACAAACACTGTGGTGCTCGCTGATGCATGCAGTGGAGGTGTCCCACCTAAAGAGGGCGCCAGAGGGACACATAAAGACAAAGACACAAACAAACACACACACACACACACACACACACACACACACACACACACACACCATATCTCATGGTCAAAGGAGTTTATTAGCCACAGTAAAAAGTTTCATGGTCAACATAAAACTTGAGGAATGAGGCTTAAAGAAAGAGGCTAATCGCTCAGAATCGAAAGCTCTCTGCTGAGAATGATATAAAGCTATTTAAGCTCGCTTACAGATGTTTTAGGTGTTTCACGAGACAGACAAATTTACACAGTGACAGGCAAATACTGACAACCGACCACACACATACACATTACTCACGGTCGACAGCTGAGATGATAATGGTCCTCATGAGTGCTGCGTCCCTGGGGTTGGAGCTTTCCCTGTCCAGGGTTACCCCACTGGTGCGGATCTTCCCTGTACTGCTGTTGATGGTGTAGAAGGGGTTTTCTGGACTGATACTGTACACCACTGTCCCATTTTCCCAATTGTCAGGGTCCACAGCCAACACCTGAACAAGGGAGAGACAAGAAAACCTTTCTGAACATCCTATGGCCTGAACTCTTTTAACAACTTCCCCCAACAAGAAGTGTTCCATATAGACCCTGTATAACAATCCTCAAATTAAAATGTGTGTTTTTTTTAAAGTGTATTAACAAGGAGAACTAATAGATGTGGGGACAGGAATGAGAAAAGAGGGGAGGAACGAGGAAATGAATCAGAGAAGAAAAAAGAATTGAAATAGTGATGGTAATAGTAACAAGAACGTCTGACCCACAGAGCGAGCATCTTCACACACAACCCCTTCCAACTGTTCTAACACATCCGTCAGCCAAAAGAAAAATGGTAACGTCTCTTTTCTGACACAAAGTGGCAATGGGTGATGAATGCAGGAAGCCGGGAGCCGGGCTAAAACACTGGCTGATTTTTAAAGAGCTGATAAATTATTCAGTACGCTGACTAAAAACGCTAGAAACTGGTTAATTGGTCATTAGAGGAACAAAGGTTTTGCAGGTGTTTAATTATTAAGGGGACATGGTAGGCAGGCATCTCAGAGGCCTATTGATTAGCAACTGCACAGACAAACGTAGGTGATATAAGATGTGGGGAAGTGTCTAGCCGAGGACAGTTGAACTAATCAATTCTGGCCTGAGCAGAGCACATTAAAAGATGGTGAGCAAATATATTAGCCTTGTCAATTGAACTCTAGCTCTAGTCCCACTGCAGAGTGGCAGAAAAGAGAATATTGTTGTGAAATGAGATAATAGAGGTCGCTCACTGTGTATGTATAGGTGCTGACTGTAAAAGGCTGCAGCAGTGATGGAGGGGTGCTCTGAGATTTGAGTGGGCAAATCCTTGCACTGGACACAGCAACCAAATTCATCGGCTCGCTGGACACCTCAAGGAGGACTCAGCAGGTGGCCTCTTGTCACCATGGAAACACTGGTTGGGCCAGGGCTACATTGGGGCCAATTACAGGACTGTAAGCCTGGGTGGTCCGATTTATTGAAAAATGGTCAGAGGGGCAATAGTGTCTGTCCAGTGAGCGCAGAGAGTCACATACTATACAATATGCATCGCATCGCTGGATGCACCATGAATGAACTCAACTGAGGAATAGCTACAAGGGAGCAGGAATAAGTGGAAAATGTAGCAACATTTTAGCAGTGCAACACTCGTATCTTTCATTTCTCTTTCGTTACCATTTCTCCATTCCACTCTCTTGCTCTGCAAGATGAGTTCTTGCTTCCTTTTCTGCCTAACAGCTAAATAATTTGCTATGCGTATGACTGCAGGCTACATTTTAATTAGCAATCGGACTCCCTTAATTACACTCACTGACGCCTCTTTAATTAATGGACAATCAGGGCTTAATTAACAACAACACACTGCCAAAGACACCAGCAGCACAATGGGAGAGTTTGGGCTAATATTAATGTTTACGTTGTGGTGACCTACGCAGTGATGGCAGCTTGTCCATCAATAGTGTGCATGCAGATGTATCCTTCAGCAAGTACTGTTTTTCATGTACAGTGTGACTTTAATGATCTTCCAGTGAACAACAATGCTGTATTACAAGTTACAACAACCTTCATATTTTGATCACTCCGCCCTGATTTCTAAAATCAAAATGCACCTTTTGCCTGAGCAAGCAAATTAAACCACAGACTAAAATAATGATTCAAAACAGAGAAACTGCCACTCAGGGATACTGGTGTTCTCTCCACATCACATCTGCATACAAAAACTATAGGCAAACATTTTAATAAATGCTTCAAACACCAATAATTATTATTCCAGTGTGTTCATTTGTGTTTTTCATGTTTAGTTAACCATCAGTTAGTCAACCAGTTAAAGTTTAAAGGTGCACTCACAGAGATAACGTCTGTGTTTATTGGGCTCATCTCCACTACGTTGGCATGGTATGGCTCGTCTCTCCACACAGGGGCGTTGTCATTGATGTCCAGGAGGGTGATGTTCACCTGAACAAAGAGGGAAAGAGGGGAAAGTAAAGTACATGGGAAAATACCTATCCATGATGATTATGGTTTACAGGCCAAAAAATCATAAATCAATATATACTGT